GAACATCTAAGGAAAGCGTTTCTACGAATACGAAGCTTGTGTATCATTTGTGTGCTCATTATTTAATTAGAAGATAATGCCTAAAAGAAGTTGGGTGTGGAAATACTGCAAAACGTCGGAGGACAAAAAATCTGCCTTCTGCAACATTTGCGATGCTTCCTTTGAATATTCAGGATCGACGAGTTCGTTAAATAAACATTTAAAGGCTATACATTGTATGATAAGGAATAAGAATGATCCGATAAGTCGTAGCGAACAACTGCAGGATCATAGCGAGACTAGGTAACTGTTAATATTTATTTGAAAATTGCATGTAAGAATTTAATATATGTCGAAGCGTGATTGTTTATTTAACGGCCTAATATAATCACGCTTCGATACATATTAAATTCTTACATGTGATTTTAAACACACACACACACACACACACACACACACACACACACCAATATATACATATATATGTGTATAGAAAAGAAATTGTTTGATAAAATGTGGCTGATAATTTATTTCGTTATTTGATTGTATTATTAATCATAGAGTATCCTTAAATTTTATATATATTTACATGTTCTATATTTTATATTGTCTTTAATCTTGTATAAATAATTAGAAACTAATTTATATATCGTTTCATAAACAGAAATGATCTGGAAAAATCCTCTGACTCTTCAAATACAGATTCTTCCCCGTCAATAAATATAGATGATCCTTCGTTATCTTCAAATTATTCAAATACAGGTAAGATAAAGTAAGCTTTTTAAAATATTATTGTATTTAAAATAATATTTAAAAACTAATGCATGAGAATGCAATGTGTTATTTGTATTGTATATAAATGTATATACGTGTGTGTGTAATATAGATGACATAAGACAGCCACGGCGTAAGAAAAAATGTAAGAGAGATAATGCAGTATGCAGCGCAGATCGTCAAGAAGATATATCTAAATCGCTAACTTGTCTAATTATTACAAATCAATTGCCACTTTCATTTGTTGAAAGCGAAGGATTCCGAAATTTTATGGCTACTATAGAACCTGGATATATGGTACCTGCAGCAAGAACAATTCTATCGCGATTGCAGTTAAATTATGATGAAATAAAAACATTCCTGCAGCACAAGATGCAACATCAAGGCGCCAATATATCATGCACCACGGATATTTGGACATCTCTCTCACAAGATTCTTTCTTATCCTGTACGGCACATTATATAGATAAAGAAAAATGGGAATTAAGTAGTCACACTTTATGTACAATAGGATTAGAGGAACGACATACAGCTGAGAATATAGCTTTAGGATTAGAAATGATATTCTTCGATTGGAATTTAGAAGAACAAATTTTTGCCATAGTACACGACAATGCATCCAATATGATAAACGCTGCAGAAAATCTTCAAAATATAAATGAACATGTTAACTGTGCGGCTCATACCCTACAACTAGCTGTGAATGATGCATCACAATTAGAAAATATAGCATATGTTATACAGAAAGCACGGAAAATTGTTGGACATTTCAAACATTCTACATTAGCAATGCAAGAGCTACACAAAACTCAAATAAAATTCAATCTGCCGCAAGAAACATTAATTCAAAGCTGTCCTACAAGATGGGATTCCACTTATTATATGTGTGAACGTTTACAAAAAAATAGAACTCCTATTTTGGCGGTATTAAATGATACATCTATAACAAAACCGAGGCAGGCTCAAAACTTAGAAATCACTGCAATTGAATGGTTGACTATAGAAAAACTGGTGACGCTTCTGAAACCTCTCCAATGTGCAACCACCGTATTTTGCTCTTCATCCGAAGTCACAATATCTTTGGTTCGTCCGGTAATACGAGGAATCATAGATAATCATCTGATAGAGGACGTTTTGGACGACGACTATATTTCAACATTCAAACAAATATTACGTCAATCACTGATTAGGCGCTTTGATATGGAAATACAATCAAACGAGAAAGTCAGCGTGCGTCAAATTGCAAGCTTCCTCGATCCTCGCTACAAAGACTTAACAGCCGAACAATTCGAAACGGAGAGAATAAAGATAAAAGACTTTATTAAGAAAGAATTACAGGTAATTTATTATATATATATATATATATATATATATATATATATATGTGTGTGTGTGTGTGTGTATAATTAATTGTTGATTGTTTTATACGTACATTATGTTTGCAATGAGTAAGATAACGAAAAGAAGAGTTATTTACTATAAAGAAATAGACTGAATAAAATGAATTTTTCACTTTTTACAGACGCTAGCTCCAACCGATATACCGGAGGAAAGAACTACACGTGTGGTTGGAAGAGCATTAGATTTTATTTTTAAAAAGAGTACTTCAAGTACACAAACTGACTGGCGAAAGCAACTTGACCATTATCAAATAGAGATAACCATTGATTATAATGACTCACCCCTCGAATGGTGGAAGGCAAGAGTTAATAAATATCCGACACTCGCCGAATTAGCGAGGAAATATTTAGCAATACCTGCAACATCCGCGAGTTCGGAAAGAGCGTTTTCCTCAGCGGGCAATATTGTATCACGAAAACGTAACTGTTTAGCCCCGGAAAATGTAAATATTTTAGTTTTTTTGTACGAGAATAGGAAATATATATATAAAACAGAGCCGGGATTTAGTTGCACATTTCGGGCCGATTCCGAACGCGACGCCTCCTATACCCCCACTACCGCTCGAGGCGCAGCGGCCGAGCCGCCGATTGCTCACGTGACGCGTCATCTCAGGAGCGTCGCGCGTGCTAGCATGATGAAACTGCAATCTCCCCCGAATAATATACCGATTAAAAAGTTAGTTATATAGACGGTTAAAATATGTAATTATAATTAGGACAATAGTTTCCGCGCCACCCATGGGTACTATTGCTGACGCGTTTTTTTTCAAGTGGTTTTCCCAGTAGGCCTATTCCACTAAAAAGAAAAATAATGTGAAATATATTAATGAACGAAAGAGCTAGCTCGCATTAATAAAATTAATGATTTATCGTTTAAGTTTAAGGAAGAACGTTTATCGGTTTTTATGATTTCCCTTTTCGAAAACGAGCATTCACATAAGAATGTTGATCCAAACATGAAAAAAATTCGAAGACCACAATTTTTAAGATTAGGGTAACTTGAATGATTTAAAATCTTAAAAAAGTCCGCCTCTTTTTCTGGACAAGTCTTGAGGGAAAGATCATTTTGCAAATCGCAAAGTTCCTCTTGAAAGTCTAAATTTTGTTCTTTGATTTCCGCAGTGAGAGGATATTCGAACAGAACCAAGTCCCTTCTAAGACTTTCAAAGTCAGTAAAACGCGTGTCGAACTGACTTATTAATAAGTCAATTAAGTGAATGTTTTTTTAAATTACAGCTTGTGCTGTATTCTTCGAAAAGAATTTGGCAAGAGAGATAGAAATGGAAAATATCTTTTTTCAAATGATTTTTAAATAAAATTAATTTTCTATGAAATAAATCAATATGACTAATTAATTGACATATTGTTTGGTTGGCCTTTTGCAGCTTTAAAAATATTTAAATGACTGGTTACATCTGTGATAAGAGCGAGTTCACAAAGAAACGTCGTATTTACGAAGAGAGATTTAAATTTCCTACGTTAACTATACCGCGTGTTTATGCCGCGCATTCGATATGCAATTGTTTTGATTCCTTCTTGTTTTCCAACCGTTATTGTCGCTGGCAGATCACTTCGTGAAACGTGGGTATAAAGTGCGTGGATATAAACTCTTGTTATTCTTCGTTATTCTTATATCTTCGAAAAGTTATAAGGTAGGTTTTTTTGTGTAGTTTTTCCTTAAGTGTGCGTGCTAATAATTGTGTAATTTTTTTGTTAAATCAGTACGATGGCCAGTGAGCAAAAGTATGAACAACATTTTGATAAGAAATGGGAGGATAGTTTTTTTACATTTATTGGCAATCACACGGTGTGTATTTTATGCAAATATCAACCTGCTGTTGTGAAAAAATTTGTCATTGGGAGACATTATAAAAAAAAACATTCAAGTGAATATTCAAAATATGAAGGTCAAGAAAAACGTAATTTAATAGAGGGTTTAAAATTAATTTATCAGGAAAGTTCCAGTTTTAATGATAATTCTAATAATGCTAATTCTTCGGTAAAAGCTGTCACTGCATCATATGCTATTTCGCTTCTTATTGCCCAGCATTCTAAGCCGTTTATGGAAGGTAATTTTATAAAGGAATGTCTCATCGAGGCAGTAAAATCATTCGGAAATTCATTGACGCTTGCTGAAGCTGCTGCATTCCTTTAACTAAAAAGACAGTGGCAGCAAGAATTACTGATATTGCTTGTTCGATAGAAGAAAAACTAAAATTTTTGTTAGACAGTTGTGCTTATTTTTCATTATGTTTAGATGAAAGCACCGATATTGGACATGTGAGTCAATTGAGTATTTTTGCTCGAATTGTACAAAACGATTTTTCACATGTTGAGGAGCTCTTAGATTTTGTTCCATTACATGACACAACAACAGGTCTAGATATTTTTAAAGCCGTTGAACAAACTCTTCAAAAATTTGACACCGATTTTTCAAAATGTTCAGCCATAGTAACAGATGGCGCAAGAGCGATGACAGGTCAAAAAATTGGTTTCTTCGGTCAACTAAAGCAGCGCAATTTAAAATTCCCCCTTATTCATTGTATTATTCATCAAGAAACATTATGTGGGAAAGCTATAAAATTATCTACCGCCATGAAAACTGTTACAAAAATCATTAATTTAATAAAAGGCGGCCACAAGTTTCTTTCTCATCGCAAATTTCAACACTTTCTCGAAGAGCATAATGCACTTTATACAGATGTACCCCTACATTGTGAAGTCCGATGGCTCAGTGCTGGGAAATGTTTAGAGAAGTTTTTTGCGATAAGAAAAGAGATCTTCCTTTTCTTGCAAGAAATGTCTATTGCCAAAGATGATGACATTAAATATATTTTTGAAGACACTGAGTTTCTTTGTGAACTCGCTTTCATCACCGATGTAACTAATCATTTAAATATTTTAAATACAAAGCTGCAAAAGACCAACCAGACAATATGTCAATTAGTTAGTCATATTGACTCATTTCGTAGAAAACTAGTTTTATTTAAAAATCACTTAGAAAAAGACACTCTTTATTTCTACCCTTCTTGCCAGATTCTCTTCGAAGAATACGGCACAGTTTGCAATTTTAAAAAATATATTCAGTTAATTGACTCATTAATAACTCAGTTCGACATGCGTTTTACTGACTTCGAAAGTCTTAGAAAGGACTTAGTTCTGTTCGAAAATCCTCTCACTGCGGAAATCGAACAACAAAATGTAGAATTTCAAGAGGAACTTTGCGATTTGCAAAATGATCTTTCCCTCAAAACTCGTCCAGAAAAAGGAGCGGACTTTTTTAAGATTTTAAACAATTCAAATTACCCTAATCTTAAAAATTTTGGTCTTCGAATATTTTCCATGTTCGGATCCACATACTTATGTGAATGCTCGTTTTCAAAAATGAAAATCATAAAATCCGATAAACGTTCTTCTTTAAGCGATAAATCATTAACTTCATTAATGCGAGCTAGTTCTTCTAACATTTCTATAGATATCCCATCTATTGTAAAATCATGTAAACGGCCTAGAAAATCGACCAATTAGTAAATGAGAGTAAAATAAAGAGGAACAGAAATGCATTCTGCGATTAACGCAGTAATTGTAAATAAAATGCATTCTGCGCAGTGCGCAGTGATGAGAGTAAAATAAAGAGGAACAAAAATGCATTCTGCGCAGTGCGCAGTGATGAGAGTAAAATAAAGAGGGACAGAAATGCATTCTGCGATAGGCGCAGTAATTGCAAATAAAATGCATTCTGCGCAGTGCGCAGTGATGAAAGTAAAATAAAGAGAAACAGAAATGCATTCTGCGATAAGCGCAGTAATTGCAAATAAAATGCATTCTGCGCAGTGCGCAGTGATTACTTTATCATTCAAAGGAAAAAAATAAAAATACATATTATCTTTTCATGTGGAGTAGGCCTACTGGGGATACCACTTAAAAAAAAAACGCGTCAGCAATAGTACCTCATGGGTGGCGCGGAAACTATTGTCCTAATTATAATTACATATTCTAACCGTCTATATAACTAACTTTTTAATCGGTATATTATTCGGGGGAGATTGCAGTTTCATCATGCTTATAGCACGCGCGACGCTCCTGAGATGACGCGTCACGTGAGCGATCGGCGGCTCGGCCGCTGCGCCTCGAGCGGTAGTGGGGGTATAGGAGGCGTCGCGTCGGGAATCGGCCCGAAATGTGCAACTAAATCCCGGCTCTGATATAAAAAATAAAATTTATAATATTATACAGAGTGCTCCGGATTTT